CGCATGACATGCAGAAATATTAACCACTATACTACAGCGGATCTCTGTTAATTACGAGTCAAGTCATCGCGGGGAAAACGACTTCGAGAGAGAGAGAGAGAGAGAGAGAGAGAGAGAGAGAGAGCGAGAGAAAGAAAGAAAGAGAAAAAGAGAGAGAGAGAGAGAGAGCGGGGAAAAAGAGAGAGAGAGCGAGAGAGAGTGAAAGAGAGAGAGTGAGAAGGAGAGTGAGAGTGAGTGTGAGAACGAGAGTGAGAGTGAGAACGAGCGTGAGAGTGAGATAGTGAACAGGAGATTGCGAGAGAGGGAGATGGATGGAACTTTGTGCCGACATGCAATGGAAACCTCCCAGACTGCCTGCACAACTCAGGTTGCACCTGTTCATACAAATAGCTCCTTGCTGGTGGGCTCGGACCCGGAAGGCTCGAGCTGCCCCATCATTTTGTGCACTTGGGCTGTGCGTGTGTGCAAGCCGTCCATGAACTTGTTCAGCTCAGGAAGCACCTTCCAATGTTTGTTTATTTAGGGTTTGGGGTTCGGGGCTATTGTGTGAGGCTTTAGTCTGCGGGATTTTGAGTTTGTTCAAGAGTGGCCCGTGATATTGTTCAGCCCAGTTATTTATATAACCCATGCCATGCTCGCACCTTCTCGCCCATTCTCTCAGGCAAAGGTGTCTCGTCCTTCTCCTCCTTCCACTGCATGTCAAAGTCAGGAACGGCGAAATCAGCTGTGGGCTCCTCCTTCAGGGTTTAGACCGGTGTATCGTTTTCTATGTGTACCACAGGGCGGGCGTTGAGTCCTCACGTTCTTTGATTTCCGAGATCCGCGTGAGGTCTGAAGCTTTCACTATCGTCTTCGTCTGAGTCTCGATGAAATACTCCTTGACACTCTGGTCGTATTTCCAACGCCTGAGTCACAACAAGGTACATCTATGTGAGATGTGCGCATGGCACACATGTAGACATGCGTGTCCCAAACGGTATACAGAGCATGCACAGGAGATGCAAGCAGCCTTACCAACGTCTGTGGGAAGCGTTCACAGTACGCTATCATCGATCGGATGGAATTCCTCGGCTTGCACAAATAGATGCGCACTGGCAGTCGTGGCAGCAGCAGGCAAAATGCAGCAAAGCATCGATGAAAACTCGCCGCCCTTCACCATTTTCTCTTCTGTTAGCCACTCCCCATGAATCTCGCGCTCTTTCGACTGGAGTCGCTCCCTCACCACGACGATGCGGCTCGCGAAAGCGGCCTAAACAGTCACTATTGGCGACGAACAGACGTGACACCGCGTTGTGCAGACACAAGCTCGGATCCAGCCTTGATTTTCTTGAAAGCTGCGGGCCCCGATTCTGGCCCGACTTGCTTAATCGCCTCGACTAGAGCGATCTCAAGCCATTCTTTCTTTTCGCCGCCGTTCGTGTAGTCATCATGGACCGACTGGTCCACGTGACATTTGAACTTTCCCTCCTTGCCCCGGTTCTGACAGAGCCGTTTTAGCCTCATCCTTAGCGCATCCGCAGTCAAGACCTTGGTAGGCTCGATGAATACTGAGCAGAAATCTGAACATAGCCGTCCCCTATATATAGCTATATGTACACGGCCAAACAACACAGATGTAGCACGCAGAGCCCGGCTAGACTTGTATATAGACCAGCCGAATAGCTTTCTCACCATCCGGAGAGCAGATCATATCCTGCTCAGATCCCTCTTGGCCATCGTCGTCGAACTGCTCGTGGTCTGGCTCCGTGGCCAGAGAAGCCGTGGAAAGGGTTTTCGAAAGGTTTCGGCAGAGGCCTCGACGTAGCGGGGGTTGCTCTTCAATATCCTTCTTTTTGAGCTGCTGTACGGTGCTCTGCAACTCTTCAATCTTTCGCATTGCTGCTTGAAGCTGCTCTGCCTCTGTGGGCACTGTAGCAGGGGCACCATTGGGCTCGGGGGTTGGCGGGGCTGATGCGGCCTGAGGTTCAGATTCACTCACGGGATTTGTGGGCGTTGGGATCGAAGCTTTGGGCTCGTTTGCAGGAACCTGTGGGGCTGATGCGGCCTGAGGTCCCGGATGTGTGGGCGTTGGGATCGAGGCTTTGGACTCGTTTGCACGAACCTGTGGGGCGGGGGAAGCTTTGGGCTCGTTTGCCTTTGCAGGAACCTTTCGGGTCGGGGAGGCTTTGGGCTCGTTCACAGGAGCCTTCGCGATTGGTCGGCTCGGGCTGGATGTTCCAGTGCTTCCGACACTCGGAGGCTCCGGAAGCTGTTGAGGAGTTGTTGGGGGCGGGGGTGCTGGCACGGTTGGGCGTGACAGCTGCGGAGTTGCTACCGCCATCGCCTTGGCTGGGGTTGGTGCAACCATCTTTGGTGTGCAAGCTGGCTTCGGCGCACTTTTTGAGGTTGACTTGGGGCTTGATTTGGCTGCCTTAGGTGTAGCAACAGTTTATGATGTGGTTGCATCCAAGCACAGTTTAGACCCGACATTCGTATTTGCAAACGAGACTCGGTAGCCTTGGCAGTGGGAACGGTAGGAACGGAGCTAGCTGAGCTAACTGGTTCTGCAACAGCGGCCCCTGCCTCATTTCAGAAGCTGCTGCAAAGTTAGGCACACAGGCTATGTAAACCCGAAATCTGCCCTATGCCGGCAAAGCACTTCAGCTTGGGGCTCTTGTTTGATCTCTGGCTTCGGCTTCAAGAGGCGTGAGGTCGGCGGGTTGACTCCCTTGGATTGCTACAGCTGCACCACAGGCACCTGCGTGTCGACATGCATGCATACCAAGTAGCAGCCTTGGCCGCAGCAACTGCTGCCTTTGCTTCCTGCCCGGAGAAAGACTACACACAATCTGTTGGTTCATGTAAAGAATGGAAATGCAAACTTGTCCTTGATGGCAGCTAGAAGTTGTTCGCGGGACAAGGTTGCAGGATCGCTTGATATGTCCATCCCAGCAATATCCGCACATAGTTGCACTCCCTTTACAAGCTCACTGCAGCTCCATTGCCGGCTGGGCAAAGCTACAGGCTTCTTCGACGCCGATGCCATCGCCGCTACCTGCAGGCAACCTGGTTGCACCTGCGCAGTACGAAGCAGCTTCTGATCCTGTGCGAAACAGATCAAGCATCCGGTGCAGAGGCATTGCAGCAACCACGTCATGAAGCAACATGAGCTCCAATGTCTCCCTTTTGTACAGTGGTAGCCGAAACACTGTCTTGATTTAATTGAGATTGGACACTGACAACAGCTGGGGGCGCACTGCGTAGGCAGCATTCGTTCACTGTCTGGTTCGGTCCCATGATCAATGCAATAGACTTTATGATAAATGTATATAGTTCATGGGACGTGTCCCCACAAACCCCAACCCTATATAAGTTCGTAATGTATATAGCACCCTTATCAACGCCCGCATAGGCTCCCTATTTTGGCCAGAGCAACCTAAGACGATCCACAAACCAGCCGAGTTTCCACAACACTGGGCTGTTTTAGTGCTGAAGACCAAGCCAAATTTTCAAGCGTAAGCAACCAGCCCCCACCAGAAGCGAGCATCATGAGCATCAGTTGGGTCGGGGCGGGGCGGAGGGGGTGGGACAAGGGGGAGGGGGGTTGCGTGCCGGGCACAGTGTCTCCGATTTTTCCCGGTTTGTTCGCTCCTATGGGAGTCCACTGGGTCGATTCCGGGCCTTTTTATCGGCGTTCTTTTTTTAACGAAAAAGAACGGTAAAAGAACGGACGCATTTATAGGGCAAACGGAGACCCCAGACCCGTCACCAAGCCCCAAAACGGACCCCCGTGTAGCCCCATAGGCGCTCCAAACCGGGAAGAAGGGGGGGGAAGGGGGGTGAAGGAGGGGAAGGGGGGGAAGGGGGGGGCCAGCCGCACCGAACGCCTCCGAACGCCTCCGAACGCCTCCGGAACGCCTCCGAACGCCCTTTGCCGAACGCCTCCCGAACGCCTCCCGAACGCCGCGCGAACGCGATGTGAACGCCGCGCGAACGCCTACCGAACGCCTGTCCACAAAGCGATCGCCCCCGAACGCATTTGAACGCCTTTTTGAACGCTTCCGATCGCCTCCGAACGCCTCTGGAACGCATGGTGTTCCTCCCAGCCTCGGGACCCGAAAAACGAGGCCCCAAAGTGCCCGCAAGACACACCGGATCGGCCAATCCTGCAGCATTTACCATAACCCGAACCGGAAATCCCCACCAGACCCACCAGAACATCCAATCCTAAGGGTTTTATCATAGCCCGACCCGAAAGTATCCCAGCTGTTAACGACAACTTCGCTAACAACGATGCCTGCCATCAGCGCACCACAGCTGTGAGCATGTCAGAACAGACTTGCTGCCGGAGCAATCAACCGAAGCTGCTTCCCAGCAGTCAGGAGTAAATTTTAGTTTCGGGTTTAGGGCTAACGAAGGATTATATACTCAGGGTGCTCAGAGGGTTCCTGTGTCTTCCGGGTCTATCTATATATATATAGCTTATATAGGAGGCTGATGGTTTAGGGATTTTGGGCACTCAGGATTTAGGATGTATACGTCTATGATGTGTTACAATATGAAGTTATTATATGAGGTATAAATGATAAGGTGTTGTATGAAATGAGATGAGATGATGTGATGTGATATGGATGATGTGATACGATATGGCATGGTACGATATGATAGGAGATGAGATGAGATGAGATGAGATGAGATGAGATGAAACGAGATGCTATGGTATGGTATGCATGATATGACTTGACATGACCTGATTGATATGATAATGTGAGAATGACATGATATGCTTTGCTATGATGTGATATGATACTGTGTGGCATGATATGATCGGATTTTAAGCTCATCTATCTGCCTATCTGTGCATCTATCTATCCACCTATCTATCTATCTATCTATCTATGTATCTATCTAATCAGATCTAGCTATCTATCTGTGTACGTACATCTACTGAAGGTTTCTTTAGGGATGATTTCGGGATGATTGTTTCTGTGCACATCTGCTACCAAGTGCAAATTGCACACTGCTTGCAGCAGACAGGATGTATACTCCATAGAGTCATGTACCGCATACTTCTACAAGCCCCAAGGATTTGCGACCGTCCAAAAGATTGATGAGCTGAAACATTTAAAGGCACCTGTATACATCAACTAGCATGCGAGAGAACATATGCGACATCACGGCTGATGCTCCAGACAGGACCATGCAAGGCCACCGCAAAATCTATATAGTTTAACCCCGGACCCCACGCTACTGATTGACTTTCTGCGCCACCAATGCCTTTGACGTGGCCACAAGTACGGTATGGGATTCGAGTGGGGGCCAATATGCACGTAGGGGCCTACATACTTAAAGTAACTATGTCGGGCATTCAACAGGAAATGGTTGTTTCTGACTAAGCTAAATAGGCTATATAGAGTAGGCATACTGGGGCACAGAAACAAAAGGACAAAAGCCTACAAAGACGTAGGAAAGACCGCTCTCCACTCGCTTGGCAAATCCAAAGACTTGTTGCCCCGTACGTAAATTAAAGCTGGTAGCAATCTCGCTTCCTCCCAGTCGGACCAGCCTGTGTTTTGGCCCCGCTACCACCGAATCTGGCCGGAGATGTGCCAGCGGCTTGCCTCGCCCCCTGGTCATCAAGCGTGGCATCATACGCAATGTTTGAAGACCAAAGCCAACTGGGTAGACCCTGAGTGCAAATGTTCATACTCTCACACCACCGAAAAGAAACAGGTGCGAACGACATCTATAAAGTGTTCAGAACGTGCTCAGCAACAACACCCAATAAGATCTAAGCTGTTGACTGCGTCTGTTTGAGTTCGCTCGTACCGGCCCATCGATCCTTCCCAGCTTTGTCCACCCATCTGCGGACGGTCTTCACACTCGACTTGTAGCGGCTTGGCTTTAGTTTCCCCAGGTTGTACTCTTCGGCATACGGGTTGTTTGTGAACGCCTGGTGTCTCTTGGCAGTAGGTGCCCCGTACATCTTCATCCACCATGCGACACGAAACACCTTACAGTCTTGCAGGGTTTGTGTAGCCTGACAAAACATCTAATCTAAAGTCTACACTGCATAAGAGCCACAGGGATCTTTTGTCGAAGCCACACCCAGCGAAAGTAATACCGCATCAAGCTGGACCCCGGCTGTTCCAGCAGGAATGTTCCCCCCAGGCAGCAGACGAGGAGGCATATCAGAATCGACCTGACACGGTGGCTGCGCTGCATACAAGCATATATTTGTGTGTGTGTGTGTGCGTGTGTGTTCGTGTGTTAGCGTGTGTGTGTGTGTGTGTGGGTGCGTTTGTGTGTGTGTGTGTGCGCGCGGGTGTGTGTGTGNNGGGTGGGTGGGTGGGTGTGTGGGTGTATGCGTGCGTGCGTGGGTGTGTGTGTGTGTGTGGGTGTGTGTGTGTGTGTGTGCGGGTGTGTGTGTGTGTGTGTGCGCGTGTGCGCGTGGGAAAGATGCACCACGGTTCATGCAAGTCGCCGGGAGGTGAGGCAGTTTGCATCGGCTACGTAGGGCAGCTTGGTGTTACCTTCAGCATAGATAATGCTTCTCTTGCTTGTCCCAGCATTTGTCGGCACCCAGCTAGAGCATACGGTGGCCAAGAGCACATAGAAGGAGTCAAGGCGGCCCTGTAAAACAAGCCAAATCGCGAGCCTGACATGCACATGGGCACGGGTCGAAGGCAATCGTGAATCATCCCTCACCACATACCCTAAAGCAAACTGAGCCGAGCTGCGCTAAACCTGAATCAGAATTAAGGTCCATGGGATTGTTGCGCTTGAATCGAGGGTCAGACAAGTACTCCAAGTCGACAGCGGCAGAAGGATAAACCTCCTTAACGGCATTGAAGACATTCCCTTTGCCAGCGAAGAATTCTATGTATGAAAGCTCCTCCAACAGTCGGATCTACAAAGGGTCCACCTTATCTCTGCCCAGAGCAGTCTGTACTCCTGGTCCAAGCAGCCGAGGTTTCTCGAGAAGAATACCAAGACGACCAAGGACACGAATGCCTGGGGCGAGATTGGACGGGCCTTTGTGGCATAGCGGCTTCGTAGGTTCAGGAACTTTCGGAGGGTTTATATATAGGGCTTGTGGGATCTATATATTGGCGGGGTTTTGGTTTGCCCCTGAGACCCTTCTGCATTCCTGTAGATGTTAACAGGATCTGCAGAAATACAGCAATCAATATATAACAATTCGCCTCGACCCCACACCTCACCTCCCCACCTCTACAAGATCTCGAAAGCCTTTTTGGATCTAAGATCGGTACTATACTGTATGACTCTACAACTGCAAGCCTCACACCCGAAACCCGAAGTCTATAAGCCCCAACCTTTCCCATCGAAGCCCTCGACCAACCTCAAACCAACACCCACGAACCCAAAAGGAGTTTTGGGAGGGAAAGACTTATCGAGAGGAATGATCAAGCGACCGTATAAAGGTGTCTTCGTGGAACTCTGACTGGCCGTTTCAGGTTTCGGTTTTATCATAAGGTTTTATAGTTATGTTTAAAGGGCTTTGGTGTAAGTTGTGTGTGTATATATATATGTACATATATCAAGGTTCTTTACTGGGTTTGAAGGGTGTCAAGGGTGTCGCCGTCAAGCTACACCATCTTAAGTGTTCATGGAAATATTTACACTCCAAGAATGCTACCGGCCCACCCAACTAAGGCGTTGGTAGATTGAATATCGGAAGTCTAGAGTCTACAGGCAGTACCGAGCTCAAGTTTCGCGTAAGGCTGAAGGATTGATCCAGGGAGCTTTGGGTGCCTCAAGGGCCAGTAACCGAGCAACCAAGATGTCAAGATTCACGGCGACAGGTGCCATTGCCCTCCGTTTAGGTATAGCTGTAGTGGTTTGTCTTGTCCCTTTGTAAGATATGACATCGAAACTCGATAGGCACCCATGCGATGTGATCAGAAACCGCAATGCCTGCAAATCTGTTGTGTAAGCCTGTGAGCACTTGAACAGATTCCCACAAAGCTGTACACACATGTGAATGCTCACACAAGCTCGCGAGCATGTCATGCCAGCACTGCACATGACATAGCGAATCAGAGGTTGCAAACTGTGCCGGGCGCTGCTGCTCTTGGCAATACCGCGACTTCGTCGGCAATGTGGCACATGGGCTCGTCGACCCATCAACCTGGCTAGGGGGTGTATCTTGGGTGAGTCAACTGCCCGAAAGACATGGCTCGGCACACTTGATGTAGACAAGAGTTGCACGATGCTGGGAGCAGCATTTTCACAAACGAAACACATGGTCCAAGCGGGCAATGTTGCCGTCCCAAGGCAGCTTTGCGCGAGCTGCCGACCCCTGGTTGAATCATTCTGATTCCTGCTTGATCCGGCTACATGACAGCTTGCAGAACGAAGCTTGGCATACATTATGTAAATTTCATGCCAGCTAACGGAGGAGGTAGCATGATCAAGGCACTGGCCAAAATTCAGAGCTTTGCTCACTTCCAAGTATCCACAGCTTTCGCGTGGATTGCAATGAGTTCATCTTTCAAACGAATCAGTTCCGAGCAAAATGGATCGCGAGGAGGCTTCATGGCGCAGTAGGCTTCGGCCTAGGTTCGTTGTGTTGTCTCTATGGTTTGGGGAAGCAATGATGTGCCAACATCAAGCATTGTAAAGTAAACATCTGTATGCAATGCTCACTGAGAGCAGGACCCACTTGTTGGCAATAACGATGTTCGTTGCCATGCAGGGCGACTGACGTGCAAAGTACACAACCTGTTTCCATGGCTCACTCGTCGTATCCCTGACCTTGACTCCGACCCCCCCCCGTGTCCAATACACGCTCAGCTGTGCATTCTCATGGTGAATCTGCTCAACGTCGTGGTCGTGTTTTCCTGGGAGTTCGAGCTGCCCCGCTTCCAAGCAATCCTCCAAGCAGTTGTGAATCCGAGCCCGCAAAGGTGCATCCTGGTCTGCGTCTGGCGGCGGCGCCGCCGCCTCGGGAGGACGACGACCCCTGCCACGGCCGCCCCTGCCCCTGCCCCTTCCCTTGGATTTGGGCTCAGCTTTGGGCCCAGGGCGGCTGCTAGAGCTGTTAGCTCCCTCCACTTCCTCATTTTCCTCCTCTTCCTCGTCTTCCTCCTCTTCCTCTTGCTGAGTAGCAGCAGGTCCTAAGTTAGCAGCTGCCGGGCGCTTCAGCACTTTGGGTGTTTTGCCTCTCCCACGTCCACGACCCTTTCCGGGCCCTTCCTCTTTCTTGCGCTTCTTCAAACCTATCTGCTCTCGACGGGTGATAGGCTCTTCGTTTGGTTGCACGTCGGGGAAGTCAGTCTTCTCCTGACCAGGGTTTTTTAAAGGCTACAAATTTGTAGGAGTGAAGCGGAACGGTCAAGCCTCTGGGTTGCAGGGTGCAGGGGTGGGAGCTGCTGCAGGAGGCTCCGCCGCAGCTGTGCCGTCGGACTCCACAGCGGGCTCCGCCGCGACAAAAGTGTCGTCGTTGTCCAGAGCGTATCCTGCGGGATTCTGAAGCATCTCAGGGAAGTGAATGATCTTGGAGGGCTTATGTAAGTTCAGCTGTGCTCCTGGAGGAACCCTTGCAGCAGGGGCCGGATTCGAAGCGGGCGTTGGAGTGGGCCTTGCAGGGCGAGCACACTCAAATGCGTGCAAACCCCACACACACACACACACACACACACCCACCCACACACACACACCCACCCAC